GGCTGGGGGGGTCCCTCCTCCAGTAACAGATGCTCCTGAGGGGTGGTGGGGGACACTCGAGTCCACCCTAGCCAGAGAAGTGGATAAAGAGTGGGCACCGGTGCTTCAGGACCCACACAGGTACTTATGTATCCATATGGGACACAGACGGGTGTTTCTTCTCGCTGTACATCAGCACAGACTACACAGAAAGCATAGAGCTGATGTAGACTTGGGTGCAGAAGTCCCTATCGATACTCAGTCCGGCTTTATCACGACTATGACGTCTACACACACTCCTTTGTTTTACAGAGGAGATACACAGTGATGTGCCTATTTATAACCCGATATATTCCCATATTTCCATGTGTGTCTGTCCGTGGGTCCCTGGTATTGCATTTTTCATGAGCAATAAAATTAGCCAAGTCCCCCCTGTACACTCGCACAAAGCCACGTCTTAATGGAGATTTATTCTTTTAATATCCCAAAGGAAGGGGAAATGCCCAGTTAAAGAAATGTAACCGTGTAAATTATTGATGGCAGTCGCCGTGTTGGAGCTGTTGGCCCTTGGTGGGAGGAGGGGATGAGGAAGGGATGCCCAGAGCCCCTGTCCTCTGGCTCAGCTCCCAGAGCAGAGACCCGAGGAGTACACCCGGTGCTCTGGCCTAGTGTGGTGGCTACTCCGGGGCCATCTGTTCCTTACCCCTTGGTGTGAAATGTTTCTCTTCTCCCTAAAGCATTTGTTCTCACAATGTGAGGCCCTTTTGATCTCAGAAGAGGACATTCTATTAAAAAAATATAAATAATAATACCCTGAAGACTTCCTTACTTTCAACTCCACTTTGCTGGCTGCTATTAACTCTGCTCCTGGAGCCTCTTTGTATTGGAGGTGTGAAGCGTTCCGGAGGGTCTCTTGTCTGGGGACAAAACTTCCCCCTCTGTGGCTGTACTGTGGCTGGATAGGGCTACTGCCAACCCCCAAAAGCCTTTGATGTCTTGGAGTGGAGGAGAAGAGGGGAGGAAGCCTTCTGGGTTTCTCCAAGTTCGTTTCACAAAGAAATTTTGTTCAGCCACCCCTTCCCCAGCTCTCAGCAAATCCAGAGCAGGTTGAGGGTGAGCCGTCTTCATCAGAGAGCAAGTCAGAACTGAAACAGAGTTTGATTCAAATTCTGTGAGCGGCCCCAAGGCAGCAAGGTGCCCCTGCACCTGCTTATACGCTGACATTGCCAAGAGAGTTACCCTAAATGAGGTAAATCATGAGAGATTTTCACGCCTGCTAAGTTTTCTCAACATTGAGACATGAATATGTTTTGTAAGTGTCACTGGGCAAAAAGACCTGGAGCCAGGGGAAGCTCTTGGTGAGGGGAGCTGCCCCCAGATCCCAACTGGGCAGGAGAGCTTGTGCACCCAACGCCCCTTCCCTGGCCCCGAGGACTTCCCCTGCCCCACAGCCCCAGCAGCACGGTCAGGCCAGGTTCTGGGTGCTGGGAATACATGTCCTTATTTGGGTTGGATCTATTTACACATAATATATTTCACTTGTATTTGTATTAAACATATAGTATGTTTACTTTTCAGATTTGATGCTGCATAGGTCACTTGGATTTGAGGCAGGGGATCTGCGATGTGCGGTCTCGTGTCCGATCTCAGCTGTAAAGCCACCAGCTCGTTGCACCGCGAGGGCCACCCCATGGTGCCGTCTCCTCGCTCACCCCTCTGCCCTTCAGCCATTTGCTTCCACCAACACAGATATTTCAGTGCTGAGCAGTTTCAGGGTTTCTTTAGCCTCTCAGGCAGGTGAAATGAGGTCTGGGGCAAAGGGCTCGGGTGGAAGGAAAAATTGCCAAAGTGAGTGTACAAAAATGTTTCCTTGCTCTTCAGAGGCCTCACCTATCCTTTCAGTTTACATGGGTCTGACAGCTCCATTTCAACCCCAGCCTTCACGTGGACTTGTTCAATATTTACTCAGGCTGATGGGTTTGCTCAGAACTTGCCTTCGTCAGCCTTGCTCTGTCGGGTTCCCTTCCCCTCGGGCCCAGGTTCACACAAAGTTCAGCCTGAAATGAATTCACCCAAAGATGAGCCCGGCTTGGCCTGAAGGACCAGAGATGGGGTCAAGCCCGGGTCTCTGCATCCCAGCCAGCCCTGGTGAAGGCCAGCACTCAGCACTCCTGGCC